ACAATACAGAAAGACAATTTTTAGCGTTTAAAGACTACTGAATAGAATTTCAGTTCACATGTAGCTCAGTAGTTGCATTTTTGAGATTTTACTTGTACAGTGTAGAGATCAATCCGTCTACTTCTCTTGTATTCATACCAGTCATGCATACCTTGATTACATTAGTAAAAATAGTATGTACACATCAAAATTAACTGTAGACAAAACGAAGCTGCCATTTGTTTTCTACATACATGTTTCCACAGCAGTGTTTAGTTGCTTCTATGGCCAATTCATAAATGAATTACCAATACATGAAAGTTTTATTTTAGACAGTAGTTAGATATACATATTGTGAGTGATGCATGGGTATATTACAACGAACAAAAAATGCACCCTTTGTAAATGAAAGACAGAGTTTAGATGTGCAATGATATGTCTCTATTGAAGATTTTAAGTTTGTCAATTTATGCACACCAGGAATGACACCATGAAATCAGAGTGATGTAATCCGTGTCCATGAAATAATTTCTGTTTTGTTGGACATATGTATTTATTCGCCAGCGTAATAATTTATAGGAGATCAACATGACCTAATTACGATTTATGTCTGCGCTTCGTGGTCCAACGTCACTTTTCCCTGTCATTCTCAGTACCAGGTTACAACAAAAGGAAGTCCATAAACATTAAGCAGACGACAGATTGACAGGACCTTAAGCCAATTAAGGACAATGAAACCAGCACCGATTTCCATTTTAAATATTATTGATTGACCAAAATTATGAGGATCTGATAGCCAATCTTTGCAGGAATCGTTCGTATTTGAAAATGTCATTTATGGAAATCCAAGGCATATTTCCGAAAATGTGTCGTTGATGGCTATATTAATTGCTTAAGCATAATTTAATCCACGATTACATCTCTTGCAAATTTAGCAGCAAACTAGAGCAAACTTCAAATCCACAGCAAACGAAAGCAAACTTTGATGACTCTTATTTGCTTATCAAGAATAAATGTGTTACAAATACATGGATTCTTCTACACTTTAAGACTTCTTGTCTATAAATCTCACATTCCTAGTTGTCATACAAATGTACAGTCGAAGTAACTTTCTCTTGCTATAATAAATTACAAATTGAAACAAGATCTATTGTTGTAACAAGGAGTTGACATGCATGACCGCCTGCTAGACAGGGTACATTAGGAGTTAGATATATAGATAGGGTCCTTCATGCCCCAGGGTGCGGCTCCACTATAAATATACTATGTTGCTGACCATGGTCAGTTGATTTTATGTACGAGCAAGTCGAGTCGCGGTTGTGTATGCTCCAGCGAGCGTCGTGTGGCAGATGGCTTTGTACTTACTATTTCCCTGTGGTGGACGGAGAAATATACTTGTTTCTATAGTTTTGCTATTACTTGGACTATATTATAATACTCTGGAACTAGATATTAAACCAATCCAATTCTTTGTAAGTAAGGGACGGGAATTCGATTTTTAACATAACTTTTATTTTCTTACGGTAAAATTAGTAAAATATTGAGATACTCGTATACTTATTTTCTGCGTTTTGTGCGAATTTTGGGAAGATTATTAATGATGTACATTTAAGGTGTAGATGGCTAAGTAAGTGGCAATTAATGATCAAAGTACAACTCTTGACAGGGCACGGTATTACAGATGTGATGTAGCTTTTTTATCTTGTTTGATCTTAAATTCATGTAAATATTCAGATAAAACACTAAGATAAAACATAATTTAACAACTAAACTTGTTTTTCATAAGCAACCGATGAAAAACAATAGGAGATATGTGTATTTATATAATGGGCTGTTCATCGTTCGGAGGCCATCAACACGTGTTTATCCTTATCTGAGTTGATGGAGATAAATGATTGTAACATGGCCCAGGGGCCATAAACTAAATAAATGGTCCATGCCACGGGAATGTCATTTGTAAAGACGCGCTCTGCCATACATTTGATCACGTGATAACATTTATCCCCCTAATGAGTAAGTATATCTCGATGGACATTTATCTATGTTTGTAAGCTGAACCAAAAGAAGTGAATTCAAACGTTTAAATTGCAGAGCGAGGCCGATTACTGGACAAGAGAACTTTGCCCTTTCAAAAATGTCATTTCGCTTAATGTCCTACAGACATTTTTATCAATCTGCCGACGAGACTTTTTCAGGTGTATCCAACACTTAATAACACATCGTCCGTGAAACCCATTATTACAGGGTAAACCTGACGCTAATTTTCCTTTCATGGCTTCAAACTCTTTTTCTAGGGTCTTCCCCAGGACAGCATGCGACCTATAATAAAAAGATTAACTTCTTTGCCAGGTGGATAGTTCTATACTGTTGCAGCCATTGATTCGATGAAGTCGGGAGTCCACACATGAGTACCAGTTTGTTGTCTTGGTCGTTAACCCTTGCAGTAAGAGTCAACAGTTGATGCGGAAGGTCTCGCTTGTCTCCATGGTAATATGGCATGAGACAGTGTGTCCTCCCTTGTCACGTGACTCACTATCAACGAAACTGAAGTGGTACACGCAGATATCAAGGGTTTTAAGTGTCACAACTTCTTTATTTTTTTGGAAATCGAATAGGTATGGCGACTGCTCTCAGGGTGGGAATACTGTCTACGTGATCAGATGTGAACATGAGACAGTGTGTCCTCCCTAAGGTTCAGGTCTAGCCGAATGCAGCACATTTTTGGATTTACTATTTGCAAAAAAAGAACTATTTTTTTTATTGCAGCTATGTTTATCTGCATAAATATGTACTTATATTTTTATTTCATTAAAATCTCTTAGATGAAACAGTTGTTCAGTGAACTTGATTTCACGTTTAGTTTTGTGAGTACTTTAACGGAAAGCTCCATTGTTTGTTGGATCTTGAAGGACACGTCTTGCGAAAATATCGATGAGGTTGGGACATAAGGCAAAAACCTTCAGATTTCAAAAGTAAAAAGATTGTGAAGAACAAATGAAAAATGTATACTATTACATATATATATATATATATAGAGAGAGAGAGAGAGAGAGTAAATGACTTCTGTCCAAATCGATTTGGAGAATTATTTTTATGAAGAGAGACTAGTAAATAGTTACATAAACAACTACATATCAAGTCGCTTTGGATTGAGTAATCTTAGTTTGCAGTCTCACATATCTCTAAATTCTTAAAACGGTATCAATTTTATTTATATTGACGAGGTAATATCATAGATCCTGAAATTATCATCTGCATTTTTGGACAACTATCTGTCAGAAAATGTTAAATATGGGGCATTGATCTGTATTTTGGATGTATATCCAGGACAGTAATTACAAAATGGTCATTAATGTGAATTTAAATACATTGATTTCGTATTTAGAACAATAGGTTTCTTTAATTCAAAAAGAAAAGGACTGCCAATTTTGACGTTTATATTCAATCAAGCATTTTAAAGAGAAGTTAATGTTAAAACTTCCATGCGTTTATTTTATAATCCGGGGATTAATTAGCCTACTGAACCCTTCACCTCTCTACAAATGTAGGGGAAATTCTGTAGATTAAAACTGCAGCGTCTAACATAACGATTTATATAACTTGGACAATTTTATGTAAATTTCCGATTGGAATCAATTGCGATGTAGTTTTTTTTTCAGCATTTTTCGTCATTTTAACTTACGCAAATTTTGTTCACAATGTTTGTGAATATCAGAATTCCGTTGTTGATATTTGTGGTAGTTTTGGCTTTGACGGGTGCTTTATGTGAGTATTCAGCTATAGATAATTTACCTACATCACATTAAAATATGATATCGATATGATTTATAACCTCATGCCAATGTTGTAACATTTTTCTTTCTTAATAAGATAAATAAATAATTAACATATTGTTATTTAATTTGCATTACGTGTGATTATTAAGTTTCAGAAAGAAATAATTATAGGTACTGCTTTAAGGAGGGGGTGGGCTTCTAATCGTACCCTCTGTATGTTAGATGAAATATATGGAGATAACGAACAGTATTCAAGCTCAAAAGTCCATTATACAATACAAAATAGGAGCAGAGCAAACACGGACCTCCAAACATCAGAGGTGGGATCAGGTGCCATGGAGGAGTGAGCATCCCCTGCCGACCGGTCACACCCGCCGTGTGCTCCTTGTCATGATCGGGAAATAACGGAAAAATCCGTCGACAATTCAGTGTGTAAATAATGGCCTAACAACCAGTATGAAAAACGTCAGTCAGCATTTGACTCAATGATAAATTGTGTTTGCTGACAAGGTCATTGTATCAACCATAGAACTTTCGAAATGATGACTTTAGACGAGACAGCTGATATTCTTGTTTCATCAACTTATTTGTCAATAATTTACCTCGTTTTAGAAATTGTACATACGTAGAGCATGCTCTTGCGTATCGAATCAACTGAGAGATATATACGCCGTATGCAGGTGATGAAGGTATATTGCTGCATAAGTAAGGGAAGTTGACGATTGAAAAGTTAAAGTCATCACGTTTATCATAAAGCTTGGTTGTTAGATTACCATTAACGTCTTTTTCAAGTAAAATATCCAAATATGAAACAGGTGTGTCAGACTCTGTGGTATCTTTTATCTCAAGTTCACCAGGATATATCGTATCGACATAAGAATGAAAATAGCCATTGTTAATTGACAATACGTCGTCGATATATCTAAATGTCGAGTTGAACGCCACAGCAAGTGTTTTCTTCTTTTCACGTACAAGATTTTGGACAAATTCTGCTTCATATGAATACAAAAAAAGGTCTGCTAATAACGGGGCGCAATTGGTATCCATAAGAATTCCAATAGATTGTTGGAAGACCTGGTCTCCAAAAACCACATAGATATTGTCAATCAGAAACTCAAGCATCTTTTTAATGTCAACTTCAGAGTACTTGTGTGTACAATCAGAATACGTTGAAATATAACCTGTTATATGTATTAATTTATAACGGGGAAAAACACAATGGATAGACTTTAAAAAATATTTTAAGGTAACCGTTCCTTCTGTATTTTAGATGAGCCTACAAACCTGTCTTGTACACCAATCAATTCCACGACTTTAATGTTTTCTTGGACAATTCCTGCCAATGGACTGTTCACTGTTAACGGATACCATCTAAACCTCGAAAGGATAGACAATATCAAAGTGGAAAACTTTCCAGTAAGAATATGATTTCCTTTAAAAAGTTGAATCACAACTTTTGATGAAGTGAATCAAAATTCCAAGTTATGTTGAATTGATTATTTTCTATCTTACATTGAAAATGGGATCATTAACTACAATTGCTAGTACAGTGGCAACTGTCTTATCCGACACCTGTGCTATCCGTTTCACTGTGAATTCCGACATTCATTTTCATTCCCAACTCTAATAATTCCCATGTTCTTCACACTGTGCAATCCGACATCCTGTCTATTCCAACACAAAATTTGTCGGACTAGACAGATTTCACTGTAATTAATTTCACATTCGAATAATAATCTTATATTCATTTCTGCATTTCTAGATCTAAAAATGTACCATTACATTTTTACTTATTTTCAGCAAGTGGATACAGGAAGTGTGTACGTCGAAAATTACACGTATTACAGTATAGGAAAGTACGCAGAGTATAGGCTAACAATGCACTCGTACACAGCCAGCGGTAACGATAATGATGTAACCACAGAATGCAGAACTCTTGAAGATGGTCAGTTAAATATTAAGTTTATTTTTATTTAAGAGTGTTCGAAAAGCATGCTGGAAAACCACTTATAAATGCAGAACAACTTTAAAAATTTAAAAATCATGAACAAATATATTGCATCTTATCTAGTATATAATTTTTGAAATAGAGAAAATAAAACAAATTGGGAAATACTGTAAATGGAGAGCGTAAATAATTTAAAATATATGTATATATGATCTTTAACTTTTTCAACGACAGCGCCTGATGGTGGACCGCCATCAGTAAACTCAACAAGAATGTCGTACACAGAAATAGCCGTAGTTTGGACGGAACCAGAGCGATACCATCATAATGGAATCTTGGTGGGTAAGTCTATCAATGAAATTTTGACGCAAAAACCAGGTTTGAAAGTTGCGAAATAGCGAAGGCCAAAAACTTTTTAAAAATTTTCTCTCTCTCACTCTTTTATTTTCTTTTTTCATCATATTTATCGCTGGTGACTTTGTGATTGACGATGAATAAAATATTTCTTAAATCAAAAGTAATGACTTAAAATAACAAAAGGGGTAAAATCGCGACGAAGACAAATGATATACCGATGTATATATGACACATCTGGTAATGTGAAGATTTCGAACAGTAATCATGCTCAAAGTCCATGCAAACAACTAGGATTGTGAGCAAAACACAGACCGCTGAAAACATCAGAGGTGGAATTAGGTGTCATGAAGGAGTCAGCATCCCATGTCGACCGGTCACATCTGCCGTGTGACCTTTGTCATGATCGGGTAAACGGAGAAATCCGTAGACAATTTAGTAAGAATATAATGGCTCAACATTTTATTTGAAAGACGTCAGTCAACATTCGACCTAATGACGATTGTATTTGCAATAAGGTCATATCGACCATAGACTTTGCGAAATGTTGACTTTGAACTTTATTGTTGATACCCTTGTATCATCAACTTATTTGTCAATAGCCTGCCTTATTAGAAATTGTTCATACGTAGAACACGCTATTGCATATCGAATCAACTGAGCCATAAATTCCATATGCATTTGATAATGTTACATGTATATTGCGTTAAAAAAAAAGGGCCGGGTTTAAGTCATAGAGTTGATCATAAAGTTTAGTTGTTAGTTTGTCATCAAAGTCTTCTTCGAGTAAACCATCCAAATATGAAATACACTACACGAAATTGATCTTGGATTTTATAGGTTACAAAATCATTTACCATGCATATCTTAGTCAATTTCCACAAGAGATTTTGGTTTCGAACTCTACCTTTTCTCATACCATCACCGGTTTGGAATATGACACGTGGTACGTCATCAGCGTTTTACCCTACACTGTAGTTGGGGACGGACCACGTACTTCATGTCCCGAGAAAACTATGGGTAAGAATCAACAAGTTTGTCTGTCGCAGATTCGTAATATACATGTAAATTATAATTAAGTACAAGAAACGTTTGTGTTGCAGCAAAATCTTCCCACTAAGTTCATTGTTGTATATTTCGTTTCAGGCCCAACAACCAAAGCGCCAGGCAAGTAGAAGAGTTTCTTTTATTATTTAGAAAACAAAAATATATGATAAACGCTTACCAATGAGAATTTTTTCTAGATATTTTTTTTATGACGGAGTTTTCATAGAATCTCTTTTATTTTGTATTTCAGATGAAGTAACGAAGTACTATTGCTATGAAGCGGTACCAGATGTTCTGGTTTTTTCCTGGGAGTCCATGCCGTGTACAGTGTACGTTGGTACAATAGCCGTGCTGTTTCTCCTGATGTTGATGTTCATGTGTGCGTGTTGTCTCAAGGGATGCTGTTCTGATAAAGGGTACGTGGTTGTTCTCAAAATTGGAAGAGGAAGTGAATTGATTATACTAAGTAAAAAAAAAATAAATAAAATCATTTCATTTTCATATCTTTTAAGTGTTTTTTTTAATATTGAACGACTATATAATTATGCTCAAAGTTTTCATTTTTTTTTTTTTATCTTCTTTGGCAGAAATGACACCCAGAATAACAACACTACAAATACACGTGATGTCGTGCATTTTAGAGAAAAGGTCAAAGTTGTCTATGCTATGAATAAATTTAAAAACAACAGAAAAGGGAAAGGCGGAGGAGGCGAAGATGGGCCAGATGATGACGATGGCACCGATTATAATGACAATGAAAGAGGAAAGAAATATGGAAGAGGAAACCCCAATGGCCCGGATGATGACGATGATAACCCAGATGATGATGGAAATGATTACGATGGAGGAAAAAGAAAAGGCCCGATGGGTATCCCAATGAGAAGAATGCCCGGAAGAGGAAGTAATAACAATTTCCAGGACGACGAGGAGGATCCCTATGGGGACCCGGATCACAGAGGAAATTCAGGGAGAGAAAATCCACGAGGTAATCTTTTCAAGGGAACAGGAAAGGCTGCTGCAACAATAGCAGCTTTAAAAGCTCGTGCAAAGAAAAATAATAATACAGTGACACCTATGAACTTCGATGACGAAGGTTACTGTGAAGAAGAAGACGATGATGATAATAAGGGAAATGTGACGGCACGTGATATTTGGCTTGCCAATAAACATCCGGGCAAGAATTCAAACCCAGACTTTAAGAAGAATAACCCCCGGGTACCTCCCGCGGCACCTCCAGTATTGGACAAAAGGTTCAATAGGAATGTTTCTGGGGTTGATCTTTATTTAGATGATGATGATGATAACGATGACAATTTCAGGCATCCGCCACCTGCGCCTCGATTTCAGGTGGGTGACGATGCCTCCGTAGATATGCCGTATGACGGACCAGGAGGTGGAAAAGGCGGGTATCCATTCGGTGCTGATGGCGATGATGCTGCGTTTTTTTAGTTTGTGTTTCAGCTACTAGTATATTTGTATGTTTTCACCCATCATTTCAAGTTGGACAGATGAATGTAGAATGTCATGAGATCAAATAGCTGTAGATCTGTAGCTCATATGGTCTAAAAATGGGATGGACGACCAGAGAGCTGAGTTTCATGCAGTCGAAAGAGTGTATACATCAAGATATCGAAGTTCGAGATAATGAAGTTCAGTTGTGTTTATAGCGCACAACAACACAAATGAACTGGACACGTCTCCGTATTTAAAGCTGCCATTTCAAAATTTCATTTTCTGTGCTACTAGCATAACAAAACATTTCTACAACTGGTTCAAAGCCATCCTGGGCATGAATCTTAGACCGTCAAACATATTTTCAGACAAGATGTGCGGCTAGATAATGCGTATAACAAATTGTCAAGCAGGGAAATCCACTACTATCAATATTAGAACAAGATGATTTATTTAAGTGCTTTTAAAATTTATTACATGAACCTGGATATCCGTTTTGATAAAAATACAAAATAATTGTTGTTTGAATTCCAAAAAGATGTACATGTATAAAAAAGAAGGTTTTTTTAATACTGTAATCTCATGGTCCCAGTAACATTATAAAGAAGTTCACTAGTCTTTATACATGAAGTTTTATCAAATTCAAACATGGAAAATGATTGTGATTGTTGGACTTACAATATCAGTATGCATACATGTATATCAGTGCAGCAGTTTACAAATCGGATTAAAAAGATTAATAATCTGGGGCTTTGGTGAAGTCTTCAGTTAATGATTTTTACTGAAGCTCATATCAATAGGAGATGTTTGGTAACGCTGTATAGCTCACCTGAGCTTAAAGCTCAAGTAAACTTTTCTGATCACATTTTGTCTGTTGTCCGCCTGTAAACTTTTCAAATTTTCAGCTTCTTTTCTAGAACCAAAGCAGATTAAATTTTGTTTAAATGAAGGGCCACGCTGTCTTTCAAGGGGAGATATTTAAGAATTTATTTAGTGAAAATTTTGTGGCATCTTTATAAAATCTTCTCAAGAGCTACTGCGCCAGAAAAATTGAAACTTATGTGAAACCTTCATTATAAGTGTAGATTCAAGTTTGTTCGAATCATGATCAGTAGGGTAGGTGGGGCAAAATAGTGAATCAAAGTTTTACATAGGAAAGTAGAGGGAAAAAAATCTTCGCAAGAACAGCGATGTTATGATTAGTCAATATTGATATGGAAACATCCTCAGGTAACTTGTAGATTCAAGTTTGTTCAAATTATGACCCTCCTTTGGAAGTGTGGGGCCACAATGGGGGATCACAATTTTACATAGGAATACATATAATAGAAAAAAAAATTGCTGATGAAGAACAGCAGGGCTATATTGACTTGGGTGAGCGTTGTGGCCCATGGGCCTCTTGTTTAACTTTGTTATAACTTATTACATAATACATTAAAAACTTAAGTTTACTTAATAAAAAAATAAGAATTCATATTAGGTGTTATAGCTGTTTATCAAATTGATGTTTACATATATGCACTATACAGTCAGACGAACAGACAGACAGACAAGATTCCATGGAGTCTCTATCTTTATGGAATGGTCAGCCGATTGGTGTATCATTGCAAATCGATATGGCAGAGTAATATCTAATTAATTACAGATGAAAAAATGCAAATTTACAAGACAGTTGACTAACCTTTGGATTTTATAGGGAAACTTTCTTTCACAGTAATACGAACCCTTTCTCCTATTAAAAAAAACTTTTTAAAATTTTATCAGAATGGAGAAAAAAATTAAGATTCAATTTTCACATAAGCGTCACATCAAACTTTCGCCAATTACTGTAAATCACTTTTTTTCGCGAGAACTTTATTTTCGCGTATTTACGCGAGACGGTCTGCTCGCGAAAATTCCATTCACGAGTATATTTTTGTTACTTAGTATAGGTTATATATAGCAATACTCAGAATTCGTGAAAATTTTGTCTGGCTTATAAATACCAAACATATTCTCGCGAAAATAAGGTGTCGCGAAAATTTTGTGATCTACAGTAATTATTATTTTCTGTTGAACGAGAAACAAAATCTATGCTTGTACAAATACCTGGCCATAGGATCATGAAATTAAATTCCGACTTTTGACACATTTTCAATCACTCATAAGATATTTATAAGTTTAAGATGTTTTGTGAACCCGGGGCCAAGATACAAAAGTGTAAAGTTAAATTTTGTTTGTGTATGTGTGTGTAGGGGGTGGGGGGTGGGGTGGGGTGGAGTCGCATTTCAAAACTTATGAAAAGATATTGAAGTAAAGACATCGTCGTAGCTGTTCAAGGACTCCTATCCGCTTGTAACTCTTCGCATGGTGTGCATTTTACCAGAGATTATTGGAACCTTTGGACTGTCATTATGTTCCTTAAAAAATTGCTTTTCAATAAAAGAGCGAGTTGACAAAAGATAAATTTTGAAGTCAGCTTTGTCAATGATTTCCTCTAATGGAAATATTAAAACTGTCCATTCCCCCACTAAAAAACGCAATAAAGCAAAACAATACGCTTTGTTCCTCTCTCCACCACGAGCAAATTGGAATGAATGAAGCCATGAGTGATGGAGAGGAAGAATAATAAACCTTGTGCTTATATTTACATTTTTGTGTCTCAGTTCCTTATCTGCAAATCCAACAGCTACTCGTCAGTGTCAGTGTGAATTTTGATGCTTATGACGTTGGACTCGCACGGCGTCAAGTGTTTGTGAAGTCAAACTAAGACTCGTGACTTAACCTTTTGTCCCATTCTCTATCCAGAGTTGTCGTTCCCGCTACGCTGTTTGTAGCGTAGCGGAAGACAACTCTGGATAGAGCACTTGGGGGATGGACACCCCCCTTTTTTCCCCATTTTTTTTTCTTTTTAAATCTGGGATCGACACACCTTTTTCCTATTTTTGTATTCTAATATGCACTTTATGTTATCGATAATGTAATCCTTTTGTCTCAGCTGGTGCACACCAACAAAATTTACCCTAGATGCTAGTGATTAAATCGAAATATTTATCAAATCGGTGGCACTTAAAAATGAAATGGAAATATGAAAAGGAAGATTAATGTGTAACAAATTAATTGATGTATGCATATTCCATGTTTTATTATGCTTTCGATGAATAATCACGCGAAGTTTAAGCGAGGTGAGGAGGATGACGAGAAAAGAAAAGAGTTGCAAGCCTTCTCTCTTTTTATGTATCAGTCGAAATTCGAAAATGTTATATTTAAATATTTAAAAACAGCTTATTGAGACAAAAGGATTACATTATCGATAACATATAGTGCGTATTAGAATAAAAACATAGGAAAAAGGTGTGTCGATCCCAGATTTAAAAAGAAAAAAAGGAAAAGGGGGTCCATCCCCCAAGTGCCTGTGGTTATGGTGTATTGAATGCCGAAGCTCTCCACACATATTAGAAGCAAAATACATGTGGAATGTAAATATTTAAGTTTATTTTTTATTTTTAAAGATGTAGTCTCATAACTGCAACGGTATGTGCAAACAAATTAAGTAACGCGCGTTAACGTAATGATTCAATGCTTATATTTACATTTTTAAACTCCTTGTCTAAACTACAAATGTGATTTATATTTTTAAATCCCTTTATTATCCTTCGGGTAAGTTACAATGGAAGAGCTATCGCGACAGCTTCTGTTCAATGTGAGCGTGAATTTTGTTTTTTGCTTTTGGCGTTGCACTTGCATAGCGTTTGAACGTTTGTGACGTCAAAATAAAATGCATACTTTTACCTATTGATCCCCGTCTGTGTTATGGTGTTTTGAATGCCGTCGTTTTTCACACACTTTACATGTATAAGCAAAATAAATGTGGAATGTAGATATAACGTATTGCCTTAAATTACTCTCGACGCAAAATGTAATAATCGCTGTATATGTCCACATAGAAATGTCTTTTTTAATTGGAATGTTGGAAATGTTGACTTTTGATCAATAATTTTTTTTTTAATATTTGGTCCCTCTTTTAAGAGGCAGTCCACCAGAAAACCATGCAGTATTTTATAAATAGGCGGTACATCGAATGTAAGGAATATTTTTTTGAAAATGATATTAATGTTATCCATATGGATTGATGTAAAGGAAGATTTGTTTGAAAATAACCTGTTTACTAAAATATCGTTATGGTCTGTGTTCTTGAATTTCCTTTTATAAACTATTGAATGTAGGTTGAAAACAAAGAACTGTGAATTCTAATAAATTTTCAATTGATCTGTAATTCACTCATAACTAAATCCAGGAATATTTCATCTTTCAGTTCAAAAAATAATATCAGTGGGAAAAAGGTTTTCAATAGTATTTTTGGCAAAATTGAAAATTGAAATTTTGCGATGCAAGAGTTATCTCCCGTAGCATAGGGAAATCGGCTAAACACCTTACTACATGTATCAGAATTCCTGTGAAATATTTAGAACTTATACATTAAAGTATATTATTCAACGAAAAATATTTGGTTTATTTAAGAAAACGGAATTCATTTTCACCTCTAAGCGAAATATTTAGCATAAAAATTGCTCTAATATTCAGGTTGAATCCACGTTTTCATTGATGTTTCAGTGACTTCAAAGGTTGCAAAAATTCCGCGGAAATTAGTAGATTTTTATAAATGTGCAAAGAAAAAGCTATAAAAGTTCGGCTAAATATTTTCTCTTTTCTGTCCAATTACTCGTCAGCGTACATTATCCTGAGCGATATCTTCCCAGATAGAATATTGTGATCCAGAATATGTCATTCACGGGCGGCGTCTCAGATCTTAACATGTCCGTATCGATAAGTGATTTTATGTAAAAACGTCTATATTAAAGTAATCACAATAGGACTAATTTGTTTTAATTGTAAATGATTTAGTAATCCATGAACTGGTAATTTAAAGATACTAAAAATAATATTTTTAGTTTTCTGATACGTGTAAAATTGGGGTGTAGAAATATTAGAAATTTTCTTATTATAAATATGCCAGTATAAGCCGAACGGAAAAAGGTCTAAATTCAACAAAGTCAATATGTTCACTTCTTGCATGTATGTAGTGTCACCAAAACGAGAGATGATTCAGTAATACATTCTTTACTTTCGTTTTTAAAATATGATATCTGTTCCACATATCTTAATACTTTTGCAGTTAAAATGCGTCAATCTGTGAGTAAATTTTCCAAAAAAAATCTCATTTTCATCATACCAGTTACAAATATGATGCTGTTCTTCCTGCTCTTTTTTCCTGTGATCATTTAATTCTGGGATTTATTATCATGATTATATGTGAGTGTACAATAATCTTCTTATTTATCTCGAATAAAATTTCTTAGAGCATCAAATATAACTAAAAGATTGATAATAGGATGAAATGCTGAAATTAAATCGAGGCTAAACACATCAAAAATATCTGATGGATAGAAGTAAGGGCATCTCTTTTAATATAATTTCGCCTTTGAAGACTGATATAAACTCTTCACTATTTTGTATGATTTTTCTTTTTTTTTTCAAGGGAAAATTTAAAAAAAAATAAATAATAATAAAATAAAATTTTTTAAAAAAGGGTTGCAAATGACATATTTTATTTAGCTTCAATTTCATCATAAATTGTTTCATAGTATAAATATCGTATCAAGATTTAAATAAAAAGAGCTTCATGAACGTAAAAAAATTAGTACATATAATTTAAATATATACTTGGATATGGCATGTCAAATGTTGTAATATTCGATCTTTTCCATTTGTATTGTATAACATATGTATTGTATCATCCTTATTTGTATTGTATAATTTTCCATTTGTATTGTATGATTTTCCATCTGTATTGTATAATTTTTGTTTGTATTCTATAATTTTCCCTGTATTCTAAATTTTCCAAATAAAAATTATACAATACCAATGGAAAATTATACAATGCAAATTGAAAATTATACAATACAAATAAGAATTATACAATACAAATGGGAAATTATACAATACAAATGGAAAAGATCGAATACTGCAGCATTTGACCTGCCAAAATATTATAAGGCAAATCAGTTAGATATACAGTACTTCGTTTATTGTCAGGATTTTGTAAATTCTATGGTCGTAATAATGACCTTGTTGGCAAATGCAGTCTATCATTGGGTCGTATTTTGAACAATATTTTATATTAATTGTTAGGCCACTTCATTTTAAACTGACTTTGACTGATTGTTCCGTCTGCCTAGTTGATCAAAACATAGGGCGCACGGCGAGTGTGACCGGTCGACAGGGGATACTTACTCCTCCGAGGTACCTGATCCCACCTCTGGAATATCTAGAGGTCCGTGCTTTTCTTCCCTGTTCACAGATTTGCATTGTTTGTAGGTGTAAGAGATCGATAACTTCACATTCGTCATATAATATCCAACAGAGATGTTTGGTGGAAAAAAATAGCACATTTGCTTGTATTCTATTATGTAGTGATTTCAACTTAACCCCCCCCCCCCGCACCCTCTCTCTCTCTCTCTCTCTCTCTCTCTCTTGGTGAGTATCATTATACAGTTTACTCGGTTTATTTCATGTTTTTCAATATTTAAGGTACAAGCTAGCTATCACTGTAGTAAGAAATTGAAGTCATTTGAATATTCATGTACATTAAAAAGGAAATTAAAAAAATTGAAAGAACTGGGTAGCGAGAGGCTCTGTCTTTTACGGATCCATAAATATCTGTCACCATGTCTGGAAAAAAAGAAGTATAGTAAAACCTAACAAAACTTAGTTTCTGTAATACCTGTAAAAGTATTCATTGTTATATTCAGTAAAAAAGAGACTCTATATATTCTTTATAAAGAGAAACAGTCAACATAATTGATATTAGCTACTCCGAAAAATATTGACGGTCATTTAATTTTTTCAACTGACCGACAAAAAGAGTTTTCCCACAATATTTTTGATTTTGATTCTGATTAGTAGACTAATTAGTAGACTAATCAGAATTAGAAGTAATAATACCGACGCGACTTTCTTAAAATTATTACAATTATGGCAACTTAAAGATTCGCTAACACTACAACCAACGTGCATGATAATGCATTGGATACAAATGAGTTGCTGAATTTCAATGACTGAAATCAAAATACTATTTTAATGCTTTGTTTTGTTTTTCATATTACAAAACAATTATTGACCGTGTTTTCGGGTAACATTGATTGTATTAGTCTCCTCGGGACGAAAATTTTCCCCTCCGCTCCGCGTCTGGCAATATTTCACTGCTTAAAGGCTAACATAACCAATGTTGCCCTCATCCCCAGTCAATATTTGTATATTGTTGGAGTCTAAGAGAAATCTACCCGCTCTACTATTTATGATGAGGAGGAGGATGGTGCTGTTGGTGTTGCTGTTGCTGTTGCCGGTGTTGCTGAATGTAATATCTTATTAGACTTATTATAGCAACCCATAGGAGCTCGTTTTCATCATCTTGATCTTTCAAATGATTTGCTCTGTCTAACAAGTCCTTTAAAGCCTGTCCTCGGCGATCACCACCACCGCCACCACCACCGCCTCCTCCTTGATGGCTATGAGACATGTTTTACAGTAATTTAGTGTATACAATAGTGTCACTAAACTGATTTCAAGTGACCCGAAAACTTATCCTATTTATACACATCTCTAAGCCACAAACTTCAAAACAATTTCCTGATGTTATTTTTCTTGTAAAACTCGTTTCCTATATTCGAAACAATTTGTCTGACGTCACGTGTTTATGATCATGATAAAAGCAGGCAGTTTTTTGTTGCGTTTCGCATTGTTCTGTCCTATTCAGTGTTTAATTGTCACTTCATCGAAGTGACTGTTTTGGTTTGTTTTCTTGAGGCTGTTTAATCGATGTCTTGCATATTTTTTAAAAATTATTCTTTAAAACATTTCTTTGTTCTTTCTGCTCTTGGTCTTCCGTTGTCCTTTATTCTTCATGAATACGAATTGTAATGAACGTGCGTGTATTTTACACCAAAATAATATACTAAAGGCATGCTCTAGTCTATTGAGCTTGATAATCTCAAGTCGGCAATTTCTACAGCTTTTTAACCCTACTGCATTGAATGAAGGTCTGAGATGCTTGACACTGAAGGCAACTTTATGACAAATTAAACAAGCATTCTGAGAGTATTGCATTAGCAATACTAGTCCCCTACCGGCAAGTGTAATCTGGTTCCCGTTAAAAATTGAAAATGCCATTATTCCGTCAAAAATCATTGAATCGGAACAAAAATGCAAACTTGATCCATAAGTAATCAAGGTTAAGTCACATACCAAAAATCAGCTCAATATCTGCAAGCGTTTAGAAAAAAATCGCGGAAAACCCTTAAAAATTGAAAAGGTCGTAATTCCGTCAAAAATCAATGAAGCGGAACGAAAAGCAAACATCAAGATACACTCACATACTAAAAATCAGCTCAATATCTACAAGCGTTTAGGAAAAAGTGCGGAAAACCAAGTGGGACAGACAGACAGAGGGACAGACAGACAGACAACCAGACAGACGGACAGACTCAGAGGAAACTATAGTCCCTCCGGTTTCACCGGTAGGGGGACTAATTAGGGCAAGTCTAATACCGCATAACGGGTATTTTCTGCGGTTGGAAATTTTGCGATAGGTAGCAAATTAATTTCTGCATTTTCAATTTCTGCGGTTACATTATACAGCAAAAATTTATTTACGGGATATGAACACCAAATTCTAAAGATTTGGCAGAACACTGCCATGTTTATGTTTTATAAATTCATTTGAAGACGTTTTTGGTCACAGGTGCATGAGAACTGATACTAAGCTCTACTATCTTTTAGTTAGTCTGCGTTAATTATTTTCAAATCCTTTTTATTTCATACATCCGTAAGCATAACTTTTTGTTTTAGGATATAGAGTAAGAAGTTATGAATTAATAATAAATCAGGTTGACTGACATACGCAACACTTGCGTATATAAAAAATCTGAATTAATATTAAAGAAATATTTTTGCGATTGTAATTTTTGCGGTTTTGTCCTATCCGCAAAATTCTGCAAAAATTGAACAACTGCAGAAAATACCCGTTATACGTTAGTTTTTTTTTTTTTTTTTTTTTTTTTTTTTTTTTTTTAGTTTTTCTCCACACTTTAGGAAAACCTCCTCTATACAAATTTTGACCCGCAATTTAATATTCTATACCAAACACATATCTTAAAAATTGTTCTGCAAATTGTATTTTAAATACTGTAAAGTATACTGTATTTAGCTTTCTCTTTCGAATATGTTTTTCAATGATATTTTTTGTATATTATAACTGGACATATTAAGACAGGGAACTAAGAAAATAAAATGTCGGTTTGGCCCCTATTTTATCAGTGTTTATGGGGGCTGTGGGGTAGAGAAATATGGGGACATGTAACAAATCAGTTATTAAATCTTAATCAGACATTTATGGACTGTGTCTGTTTTAAAAATGTGTATAGAAGCATTAATCAGATGCAGGAAGGGGAATTTATGATAATGTCAAACTTTCTTCGATCATTCGTTGTATTTTCATCATAATCGATGTTTTAATGTAGCAAACTTAATTCTTCCGTAATTTCGAATTATATATTTTATTCATTAGTCTTTAGTGCATCTTTGGAACGGACAACTCAGGAGGATGAGCTGTGAGCCTTTGTTCCAAAGCAAAAGTCTCTTCTTCATTTATTTTGAGCGTAATAGTGCTTTAATAGTTGTTGGGTTAGTAACCGATTTAAATAAACTTAAGTAATCTTGAATTAACACTTCATTTCGGCCTGTAATTTTATGTTTTCCTATTCAGCTTTACTGCTCTTCTATCAACTTTACAACAACGATATTTCATTTATTAGTTCAATCTATTTTAAGGGAGGTTGATTGAACTTTTGTTTACATGTACATATACATGTACCAGGAAACCACATATACATTGTAGCTGTTTTGTATTTCCTTTTCTAATTTTGCTTTCATGTAAACGGACAAAAAAGGATATAAACACCCTGTTTTAGTTTTGTTTGCAATTTAGAATAATGTACGCTGCAGATTGACAGTGTGCCTGCTGTCTATTACATCATGTATATTGTTTTAAACTTTCAGTATAATTTTTTTTTGTTTATGTCAATTCTTAAGCTAAAATCCCAAAAAGAAAAGTTTTCTGTACATGTTATAACAACGTCAAAACAAAGACCAAATGCCAGAACAAAACGAAGCAAGAAATGAGAAAAAAACTTATTTGAGGCAGCCTCAGATTCATTTTAAATAATATTCAGCCACGTTAAAAAAGTTAGTCCCCATTAAAATCCATATGCTGCATTGCTTTTGACGTTTCAGTTGTAGTCGTTTTAACCGTACTTTTCCGCCGAACATTTCAAATCCATGCCGTAACAACTAGATGTACTGTGAGCACTGAGCTCAGAAAATGATACCCCCGCTCCTATATGAGTATAATGGGAAAGTCCATTTGTTGCTATGAGAAAACCCAAATATCTGTCCGATAAAAACATTAAGTAGGAGGTCCACAATGGCATTATGTAATAAAGAATCTGTGAAAGTATCATTAGATTTTATTCAGTTTTATAGGAGGAGTTGCGGATAAGAGATGGGTACCCCGATTTCATAAAAAAGAATGTCAGTATCCATGTTTTGCTATGAGAAACCCTATATATGTGTCCGATCAAAAAGTGAGATAGGAGATGCACAGATGGCATTATGCAATAAAGGGTCTGTTACAGTTTCATTAAATTCCATGGTAAAGGAGGAATTGCGGATAAGAGATGGATACCCCAAAGCGTAACAGACGGAAGGACGTACACACAGATCTCTAGACGGACAGAACGACGGACACCCCCATCACTTAACCCCCCCTCCCCCCCCCCCCCCGTTTTTCAAGCGGGGGTATAAGAAGTATAAGATATAACTTCTTGCTAAACAAGAGACAAGACATTCAACTCCGACACTAAATACACATTTTTGTTCTCTTTTTCACCGAATACACATGCATAAAGATTTATAAAGAAACGTTAAAAAGTTAATCCTAAACCCAATTTTTAAGGAAACATGTTCTTCAAAACTTTTATTGATATTCAAAGTAATATTATTGAATGGATAAAATCTTATTCCTTTATTTCTTATTTTTTTCTTCTTTTTTTCCTTTTTTTAGTATATGGTGACGTCTCTATTTGAGTGAAAAATTCTCGAATGGGACGTGAAACAGCTATCAATTTTTTTCTGTAGATGACAACTTTTCTCCTTATTCTCACACTATGTCTCTAATTGCTTTCTGTTATAGATGTTTGAATGTAAAATGTTATCATATATTTCAAATACAGTAAATATAATTGTATTATTTATCATTATAACTATAAACAGTATTATTATATTGAAAAGGCGCTCGTTTTTATTTATCTAAAAATACCTAATAGTTTTCTAGCAATAACTTTAAGTCTAAAACACAACATATGTGGGAATTTTATTTTCATTGTTGACCGCATAAGAAAACATTCTGATTCCTTTTCAAACAACAAGTCAAGAAATATCTGCTTTACAAGTGCATACACGTCTTTTTGGTTTGAGATCAGAAAAGAAATACAGTGTTAGTAAAACTTTACTAGTTTCTTCCGTACAAAAAAACCCTTTAAATTTATATTCCCCGTTGCTGGGTTGTCTTTTGATTTAACTTTTGATTTTTTATTTAAATAAGAGTTTCCAAGTAATTTATCGCAAGCCCGGGGAACGCAGGGGGTGGTTGGGTGGTGGTGGCGAGGGTGAGGAAAGCTAAAACCGAATTGTGAACATTGTCAAAATACCAACTAATTACATGTATATAACAAACTCAGTGACTACAGCTTTTCTACCGTCAAATTCCCTTTTCACGTAGTATTTTGTCACTATTACCTGCATATGATGTTTATTCTTCCAACTGACTCAGCACACAAGAGCATGTTCTCTGTACGATCAGTTTTCAAACCGAGGTATGCTATTGACAAGTAAGTTGATGTTACGGAAGTCTCTACAGTTTCGTTTAAAGTCAGCATTCCGCTTGTTTATGGCCGCTATAACAACATTGTTTGCGAATACAACCTATCGTTGGGTCGAATTTTGACTGACAAGTTTCATATCTATTGTTAGGCCATTGTTTAAAATGTTATTTTGACTTAGGATTACTATGTTTACCTGATAGATACATAGGAATCACGGTGGGTGCAACGGTCAAAAGGGAATGCTTATTCATCCTAAGCATCTGATCGCACCTCTGGTGTTCCCAATGGTATGTGTTTGTTTCGTTTTGTTGACAGGATTTTTGATATATATATATATATATATATATATATATATATATATATATATATATATATATATATATATATATATATATATATATATATATTATTTGAAGAACGAAGGTTGAAATGATTTGAAACAGAAATATGCAAGAAAAACATTTAAGTGTATGGATATTTATTCGACTTTCTATTGGGGGGGGGGGGCAGGGTGGAGAGGGGGGTATATCTTACGGAGAAACAAAAATCCT